TCTGTGAAAGGGATTACGTGATTGCAGTGTCCTCTGTTAACAACTAACGGAAAGCAGTGTATGCGTAATTTCCGACAGATGTCGCTACAGAGTTCGTGTTTGGCTTGCAACAACGTTAGCAGTTCAGCTCGTACCGTGCTCTATGTGTGCATTCTTTCTTCCCATTGCTTGTTGCGTGCTGGCGTTCCGCCACCCTGGCGAAAGGCGCTTGTCAAATTTGGCCATCGTCGCGTTTGTGAGTGGAGGTTGTGTTTCAGAAATGCAATCGAAGTGTACAGTGACTGCTTTTAGATGCGTTTGTTATCGGTCGCTGGAGCTGTCGGTTCTGATTTCGGTGTTGGTCACGAGTTGATTCGACCTGTGAGAGGCTGGTGTTGCGTTTTCCAGACTGTGACTGTCGCGTGTGATTTGTGATGGAAAGGGGTCGTAGTCTTTTTTTCTCTCTGCTGAGATTACTCTAGTCGGAGCAGCTAGAGTGTGTTTAGTGATTGTTGGGGGTTTCCATTCGAGACGCTTTATACAAAGGTGACACACAAAGGAGAAGTGTTGGTTAGCTTACGACAGGGAACTATGAACATTTTGAAGGGAAAATTTTGCTATGGGAGGTGCTTCTCGTGTTTATTCGCGAAATTCACATCAATGATTGATTACTTGCGTAGGTGATAAATTTGGCAAGGCAGACCAGCAGACAGCAAACCTGTCCGGATCTGATCGTATTTTTTGTTTGTTTTGGAATTGTTTATGGAAAAATAGTGAACTTTTTGTGAGCATCCCAACAAATAATTTGAGCTGATTAAAAGCTGGATAAGCAATTTTTCAGCTGAAGAAGCAAATATTCGCCTGAATATGCTCTTATTCAACATTCAATGTTTGTTGGGATTAACGGCAAATAATTCATCAACACTGGTGGACCGTGTGTACCAGCCCCCATGTAATAACCCGCTTGGGTTTCCGCTGCTATATGACGGAGAAACAGTGAGAGAGATGTTTTTAATACCGGTTGAAGAAGTAGCGGCAACATATCTATGGGAGCTTTTCGAAATCATTGTGATGTCATGGATTCCTTTGCAGGATATTGGGTAGAATCTTTCCTTTATTTTTCTCTTAGCTTTCATTCTATTATTATATTAAACCCTCGTATGAAACATTAAATGCTGGGGACGGGAAGGTCCACCACGGCACCCTAGTGATGGGAAATGGATGGGAAGAGTGGAAATGCCAACGGGTTCTTCTCCCCACGCATTGGGGCATCCTCCTGTTAGATGGCCTGTTTTTTTTTACCGGTTGTATGATCCTATTGTTGGAAGGAGATTCTCATTCATCCCGTGGATGGACGTGGCCAATGTTGCCCACGGATTCACACAAACCGTTGTGTGCCCTTCATACAATTAGAGGTTATTAAACTTGATCAAGTCGAACTGAGAGGATAGTCCACAGTAGACTGACCTAACGGGCCAACCTCTAGATTTGTGCCATTAGGGAAAACCACTCTCTGAAAATTTCAGCTCATTCGAGCTGGTGCTTTTGATTTAAAATTTAAATGGGGATATTGGTTGAAATGTATAGGAAAGTAACATTCCTTCACTCTTTTGTGCATAGAACTGGTTCGGAGTTTCAGGACACTTAGCTTAAACTATAAGGAACAATTGATGTGGGGCAGTCTAGTCCACAATTTTCTTGCTACAGTGAGTGGTAGTTCGATATCATAATATCATCATCAATATCTGACAGATGTCACTACCAGTGCTAACAAAAATCGTTCAAATCAAATAAGCTGAAAATGAAGGCAAGCTGGAACGATAAACCAATGAATTTGAATTTTGACATGATAACATGCTCTTCATCAAGGCAACCGCTGAGTTTCGAAGTCAACATTTGTTTTTGTTCATTCGAAGATGCGTATTCATTATCGCCTGTTCTGTTGTCATATCAATATTCATAATCATTTTGGTTTGGATGATTTGAGTATCAAAAGCGAATAGATTATTTTCGTTTTACACAAAATATAGCGTTGTGGAACGTGTTGTTGAACGATGTTGAACGATGGAAGATTATTGCCTTTTGCAGAATTTATGATAATATCAAGGTTTTAGACTCTGAAATCGATAATATTCAAAATAATCATTTATGCCAAAATGAATTTGATTTTTTTGCTTTTGAGGATCGTTTCCAATTTTGACAATTTTGGGTTGGAAACTCAAGTGTTGATGAATATCAACAAACGCGTATTCGTCGATGGATAATGGACTCATGTGTTCATTTCACTCGTACGTTGACAGCGAAGGTTTTCCAAACAATCGAAATTCATCTACACTGGGTAGAAGCAATAGTCAGTGCGTGTGAGGGTAAATGATAAAAACAGGCACTGGTCACTACAAACAACAGTAGTGACATCTGATGGCCAATAAGCGCAGAAACCATTTCCATCGGCTCATTATATGTTGATTTTTATATTGTGTGTGGCAGGATAATTTTTCAAAAAGGGGTTATACCATCTGTTTTCTGTTTATGGCCGTAACACACGGTGGCTCTTTATCCAGGATTTGCTCCTCAAGTTGCTGCCATAAAATACTATCAAAGTTACACATAATCCTTATGGGCGGAGTTGCATCGCGCTTATGAGCGGCGCGCTTCGACCGTAACCAAATGAGAATTTAACATAAGCGCGACAATACCTGCAGGTTTTCAAAAGAATCCGACAAATGGTTGTATTTTAGTGAATGGTTTCTATATGTGACTATTTTATGAAAACATTCTTAATTGCCACTGAAAGAATAGAACTGGACTTGTTGTTTTGCTGGTTTGATTTAAAAAATGGCAGTTGACACCTTTAAACAGAAACTTATTTGATTTTTTTTTCCTTTGGTTTGTTTTTTCCGTCGATCTTGTTTTCCGTGCTGAGCACCAATGCTACCGACGTGCCAGGAAGGCAGCTCCCACACCTGGACCCTACCTATCGACCCATCAACTCATGAACCGGGGACCAACGGCTTTACTTCCCATCCGAAGGAAGGCGTGATCAGAGATGTTATGCCTCAGAACATCCCGGCGGCGCCGACTGGGATTGATCCCAGGCCTGCTGGAGTGAGAGGTAATCACGCTTACCAAAACTTATTTGATATTTTCGATAAAAAGTGATTGGTGTATGAAAAAAATCATTGACTACAGATATGTATCGTAACTAAAAATTACATGCGTCGTGGAAATGTGATGCTCCTTTGATTTTCACGGCTGATGAGACTAACTCAGGGGCAGGGTTGCCTTCTCTCACTAGCTATAGCATTTTTATTTTTGGAATTATTACGTCATTAGATGTTATATTCATATGTTGTACTTGTAAGTTACAACAGAGCGAGCACTTACGAAGCATAAAATCGCTGATTGTGATGCTCTGAAAGGAGAATTGACAGGTTTTATAAAGGGTGATACGGTCAAAATTTGGTCAAGGGAAAACGCGTGTAAATCGGTGAAATCGTTTATTTAAAAAATCAAATTAAATTTCTTTTTCAAGTTCAATTAGTATAAAATTCAGGAAAAATAGTCAGTTAGGCTTCCGCTTTTCCAAATCCGAATTGCCGGGCCTTACGCTTGACCCCTGCCATCAGATTTTGTACAGCCACCTTGTCCACCTTCTTCGCCGCAGAAAGCCAGTTTGCCTTGAACTGCTGCTCGCCCTTAGCAGTTTTTTTGGTCTTCTTTAGGTTCCGCTTGACAATAGCCCAGTATTTCTCAATTGGGCGGAGCTCTGGCGTGTTGGGAGGGTTCTTGTCCTTGGGAACCACCTGCACGTTGTTGGCGGCGTACCACTCCATGGCCTTTTTACCGTAATGGCAAGATGCCAAATCCGGCCAAAACAGTACGGAACAACCGTGTTTCTTCAGGAAAGGCAGCAGACGTTTATTCAAACACTCTTTCACGTAAATTTCTTGGTTGACAGTCCCGGAAGCTATGAAAATGCTGCTTTTCAAGCCACAGGTACAGATGGCTTGCCAAACCAGATATTTCTTTGCGAACTTTGACAGTTTCATGTGCTTGAAAACATCTGCTACCTTTCCCCTTCCTTTTGCCGTATAAAACTCCTGTCCCGGAAGCTGCTTGTAGTCGGCTTTGACGTAGGTTTCGTCGTCCATTACCACGCAGTCAAACTTCGTCAGCATCGTCATGTACAGCCTCCGGGATCGCGCTTTGGCCGTCGTATTTTGTTTATCATCGCGATTTGGAGTCACTACCTTCTTGTAAGTCGATAGTCCGGCTCGTTTTTTGGCTCGATGCACGGTTGTAGACGATACACCCAGCTTATTTGCGGCATCTCGGAGAGAGAGGTTAGGGTTTCGCTTGAAACTACCGGCAACTCTCTTTGTCGTCTCAGCGGCTTCCGGTTTTCAATTTCCCCCCGATCCAGACTTCCTGGCTGTCGACAAACGTTCCCCAAACACTTTAATTACATTTGTAACGGTTGATTTGGCAACTTTTAGCGATTTTGCCAACTTTGCGTGCGAGTAGCTCGGATTTTCGCGATGCGCGAGCAAAATTTTGATACGCTGCTCTTCTTGCTTGGACGGCATTTTGACAACTGAAGAGTGAATTCCAAAATCAAAATAGGAGCAACATTCTACACACACACACCTTCAAAATGAGGGGTGTTCAGGTTTTTTAAATGCAAAATTGAAAGAAATACGTCAAGTAGATATTGACCAAATTTTGACCGTATCACCCTTTATATGTCAAACTTACACTTTACAACCTCTTATTGAAACTTGCAGGTACAAACTATCAGTATAACGCAAAATACATTACGCTGAAACGTCGGAAAGTAGAAACTCTCTGTTTTCCTTTTATATGCGACTGAAAGTCGAACCAAGAAATCATGACATTAAAACATCTAATGATTTAATAATTCCGAAAATCATTTTTCAAGTAAGTAAATGGAAGCACCCCTGCTCAGAGGGAGAATCACTTCTACTCAAAAGAAAGAGACATTTCTAAAAACGTAGGTTACTGAGCGCTGAGTAGAAGTGAGTATCTCTCACTCTGAGTTAGTCTCATCGGCCGTGTAGATTCAAATGATCGATTTTTCTATGATGTCCTGCTCTGAAACGTCGATTATACTGATATTAAATATTCCACTTGCCATTGTTATTCATAATCCTTCACATTTTCCCTACTTAATGGGTATTGAAAGTGTTCATACCCCATCCACAGTAAATATGTCTGTCTTCATTATGCATTCCCTATCCTGCTAATAATGCATCCTCAATTTAATCTCTTGTGATCTACATGCCTCCGCCTATCTACACACCATCCTATCATATACCTACATTCATTTTTGTTTTCGGAAGGGGATTCTTCATGTTATGCACAGTGATTTCCTGCCTTTCTTCTTACCTTTAAGTCCTCTAGCGAACGAGAATCAATATCGTCCCGAAAGAAAGGAAACCCGAAAAAAAAAAATCCTAACCTCAAACAGCGCTATCAACGAGCAGCGGTCGCAAGCTGTTGCTGTTGACATTTTCCCTACTGCTGCCACTACTGCTACGGATCCGGCGGCCGGTCTAAAGTCATACATACACTATGTGCGGCCTCGTAAGGGTGCGTTTCGACTGCTGCGGCTGTCGCAATTGCGGCTTTTGGTGGTACGTTTTGGATTGTTTCTGACAGTCGTAGTACTCGAAGCTCTCGTAGTGATCCGGTTCGTGGATCGTGTTTCCATACTGGTACTGGTCGTCCTTCAGCATCGGAGTGACCTCCCAGGGACCGCCTCGAAGCGGTCTATATTCGCTGGCCGCACTCTGCTGGGCCAGGTAACGCTCTAATTCTAACTTATCTACTTTTTGTGGCACAATCAGATCATTTACATTCTTATCCTCGTGGAGCAGCTTTTTCCGTCGTTTGGATAGGTGGAAAAAGTACAGGACGCTCGCAGCCGTGGCCAAGACCAGCAGTATACTGAACACTGCACTGATCACAGTCACCACGTGGGTGGGACAGTTCATGTCCGATTCGGTCATCGTTCTCAGTGTCCGTCGGATTTTCCGACCGTCTTCGTACAGATCACAGCCCAGTTCATCCCTGTCGATAACGAGGGGATGTGGTGAGGCTTCCTCCTCGCTGGGACTGGCGAAGCCGGCACTGGTGAGGGCAGCGGAAGTTAGCAAGAATTCATCATCAGGGTCGCCCTCGGCTGCTAGCCGCCACAACCACAGCAGCGAACAGTTGCACACGAGCGGATTCCCCGCCAGCCGTAGCCGGTGAAGTCGATCCAGTGGGAATTGAACCGCATCCAGACGGACAAGGGCGTTGCGGCGGATGGAAATTTCCAGCAGGTGCGGGTTGCCATGGAACAACCGCAGTGGCAGACTCGTGAATGATGGATTATCGTCAAATGTCAACGTGTGCAGGTTGGTGTTGTCAACGAAAGCTCTATTTGGAGAACGAGACAAGAAATGAGAGACGAGAAATTAGAATTGTTTATTTATGGCCCTCTGGTGGGGGTGAATTTTTCTTCAGTTTTTTTTTGGGTTGGGTGTTGGTCGATAGGGTTTAGAGCCGTCGTCATTTAATGAACATGTTTTTAAGATTTAATGGATTTGGAATTTTAATTTTTAAACAAGGATTTTTTTTAAGAATGGCATTTGATTACCTATGACTGAAGCTGAATAATGTGATTGGAAAAAAGGTTGATAAGTTGTACAGTTTTCGAGATATCGTTGAACGCGTACCTTATAAATTGAGACTGAGTGGCCCAAACGACATACAAAAACCGTTTAAAATAGACTTGAGTATACATAACTACAAGGTTTTTTTAATCGGTTGTATGACAAAAGGTTGAAAGTAGAAAGGGTCTACTATAAGAGAGGAATGGACAGGCTGGTTTAGAGAAAAACGAACTGCCAAAGCCAGAGCCAATCGAGCAGAACATACCTATATTGATTGCTTTTGCAGTGTTGCTAGAAACCTTCCAAGCATAGGTTGCCAAGGCAGTTTGTTTTGAAACCACATCTTTCTTATACTTGACCCGCTATAGTCGAAAGGACAAAACGTCGAATAAACAAAAGGTTGCATGGATAAATGATCGATCTTTTGTTCTTCTTTGGACCGTTCGATTTGTAGTCTCCCATTTTAATCGCTCGTCTACTTAAGTATTATCCGATGTTTGGCCCTTCGACCTTTTGTCTTATCGCACAATTGGCCAGTTTAAATTTTTCTAAAATTATTAGAAAAAAGTATAAAAATCCATAATATATCAATTTTTTTTTATTACTGAAAAATTTACATGCAAAAATCTTTGACATATCTGATTATGTGTATTTTGTTTTCCTTTAGCTTTACTTTGATTTCCTAATCAATATTGAACTCTAAACAAAACCAAAAGGCCGATTTTTGGTTTTTGTTTTACGTAGGTCTACGTCTGTGATTTCTATATGGGAGTACACTTTGTGAAAAGCTAAAATGGAACATGTAACAAAATTATGAAAGATTTTGTGCATTAATAACTCAGCTGTCCCTGGACCAATTTCAATAATTTTACGCATCTGCCAAATTTAATACTTTATTATTTTTCAAAATGTCACTATTGAAAACTACACGAATGTGCAACTGCTGCTATGATCATTAAAATGATCACCGATTGCCTGCGAAAAGCGATTTCCCTAACACAGATTTCAAAGTTGAATTCCATCCGGTCTCACCAAACGGTGTTTATTCAATTACCGCAGTACAACACCCTAATAGCTCAGCATTACTCAACCATCACGACAAAACGGTCTTTTTCAGGACCACCATACATTTGTAAAATAGTATTTTTTTTGACAATGATGACCTTATTCGGATGTCAGTTCCCATATCAAGATAGAGCTGGAATTAGGGCTTAACAGCTTTTGTATAATGTCTTAAAAGTCAAGGATCGCCCACACAAATCAACACCACCATCAGGTAGGGTAAAACTTTCCCTACCCGACGGTAATGTTGGTTTGCGTTGGTGTTCCTTGAATTCCTAAAAATCATCGAGAGAAGTCATTTTTTACAAAAGCTGTTACATCTAATTCCAGCTCTATCTAGATATGTTAAAATCTAACATACCATGTTCTTGAAGGCAACATTGGGGGTGCAATTTCAAAAACCAAAGTCAGTTGCGGCATGAGAGTGGTCTGATTTTGATCCAGAGATGATGGTTTTGTATTTTTAATACGCCAATGGATAGGAATTTTTTTCTACAAATCTGTTAAAATTAAGGCTTTATTATTTTTCAAAATGTCACTTTTGAAAACTGCACGAATGTGCAACTGTCGCTATGATAATTCAAATGATCACTGATTGCCTGCGAAAAGCAATTTCCCTAACAGAGATTTCAAAGTTGAATTAAAACCGGTCTCACCAAACGGTGTTTATTCAATCACCGCGTGGTGAGTGGTGGTGTTCTCCAGTACACAACGAAAGGCTGTCTGCAAGCAGCGAGCTGCAGCCCACTTAGCATTCATGGGAGGAGGAAGAAGCCACACCGCTATTGATCGGAATCAGTAGCTCTTCGTGAGCCGCTGTGGGCCATCTTTGTCAAGCGCGTTATACTAAAGAGTATAAACAAAGAGACATGTTTGGCATGCACAGTTGTACACACCAACTGCTCATTTGTTAATAACTTTTCACTCAGTTGTTGAAATTTGTTTTTCTTTAAAGTAATTGATAGATTAGGATCATCTCTTACTAAAGATATGCAAAGAGTAGGTATATCAACACCAATGAATTTATACACTTAAAGTCCGAGATGTGCAGCGAGCATTTCTCACTTCATTTTTACAACGCATAAACAAATGCACTTTTTTTTTACTAGAATTCAAATCTACTTTTTTTCACGTATTTATAACAAGTTTAAACTCTATTCTATCTACTGCTTCAAAAAGAACTATGTTTCGTCAACTGTGTGCAAAGTTATTTGCAAATGAGCAGTTAGTGACCAAAGCTGTGTGCATGCAAAGAGATCCCCACTCTAATTCCTATTCCTACACAAATCACAAGCTCCTGCTGCAGTTAACAAATAAGATTTATTAAATAAGACCACGTAGTCCTACGTCACCAATGCGTACAACCCCATAGGGCTGTCTCTTGTAGTTTTTGAGTCCAACAATGACATAGAAAAAACTTTTTTGCTCATATATCATCTTTAGAAAAAAACTTATTTGTTTGGGATCATTGATCGATCTGTTCCAATATATTTTTTTAAACATCCAAAATTTATTTCATTTCGGAGCGGCAAGCTTTCTCATAATTCAAAAAACTGATAATCTGGCAGGGGAGCTACACTTGTGACCACAAAAACTCAGATTTTCGCTCAAAGAACACAATAGACTCAAAGGAGTACAATGGGGTAGGTCCAATTTTCAACTTCCAGCTCCCCACTGCTGTGCACTTTGTCCGACTCTATCTGGGTAGTCGGTGATGTGAGGCAAGAATGTATACTATCACCGCTACTGTTCCTCATCGTAACCGTAGACACCATGGCTGGTGCCATTGAAGTACCTCAACGACTTCGGTTTGGCATTGCGCTATTAGCACAACAGAACTCTGATATGCAAAGTAAGCTCAAGGACATAGCCAAACGCTCCTCTGCGGTGGGTCTCTTCTGAACTTTTGTTTAAATATTAAGAAGTTTGGTGTCCGGTTTAAGGTTTTAAGCATAAATTTTTTTTTGATACTCGAAACTTAACTTTATTAGTTTTGAAAATAAAGCAATATGATCTTCAGCAAAGTTGTAGTTGTGACACAATGGTTCGGAAATGTTTCGGTACACACTTAGAAAAAATCATGTAAATTTAGGTGCTCTGAGACTGACATATACGAGTGTCAATTTTGACATAAAATTGAGTCATAATAGACGCGAAATTCAGCTCAATCAAACGTACTTTCGAATTTTTCAGTCTCGGAGCACTTAATTTTACATGACATGTTTGTTTACGTCTCATCCTTAATGTCAGAGATGGATTCCGTCATGTGTAAGATTACGTATTTCTAAGTGTGAATCACAAAATGGTTCAAAATTTGATCAAACCAGCACTATCATAACTAGCATATACGGTCAATGGTGGTCATATTAGATTTTTAGGAGCAGATTGGCTACATTCGGACATGTTCTGATTACCCCCATTGAAAAAGCCAGTTTCTGACATTGGGTAAATCCCATCATGCGATACAAATCAAAAAAGAATGCAAACTCATTTTCATTGACAGTTACATTGAGTACCCAGGACCACATAGGACACTTCTAGACATGTTCCGGATGCCTCATGGAAGTGGCCACTTTCTTAAATTCGTCGTTGTAATTTTGTTCAAGTCAAAAACCCTGGAATAAGTTTGGATAAAGCCAATGGGGCCCTAGACAAGCAATATGATCACCAATAATCTTAGTTTTGAGTTCTCTTGTGATTTAATGTGTCGCATGATGGGTGTTGGCCAAGTTTCGAAAATGACCACTTCCATGGGGTATCTGGAACATGTCCAAAAGTGGCCAATGTGGTCCTAGACACTCGTTTTGACTGCCGATGAACATGATGTTGAATTCCCATGTGATTTGATGTATCGCATAATGGGTTTTAGCCAAAGACAGAAACTGGCCATTTCGTTGGGGAGATGCCCAATGTGCTCTTGACCACTTACTTTGACCACTGTTGTCTGTATATTTTTAATCTTAGGTGATTTCATGTATTGCATGAGGTTTGAGAAACTTTTGGGCCATTTTGCAATAATGACTGCGCTTATCCTGGACATGTTACAGTCGTATATCAGAACGATATAAAACAGAGCTGTTTTTTTTATTAACCTGAAAATCTCCAATCGCAGCCCGCTTCCAGATGTCACAGACTTGATTAAATTTGCGTTTTTGCAATTTATATCTTTTCCACTTTCGGGACACCTTTTTCTGGTGGCAATGTGATATTTCTCGGTGCTGTCAATTTTCCCACAAGGAAACCATATTTTCGTCTGGCTTTGCACTCTTCCCAACTATGATCCTTCATGGAAGGCAGCTTCATTTTGTTCCTCGTTTTCACCTTCTAACCAAAAAGCGAAACATTCCAACATTTCGAAACTTTTCCACTGCTACCGCCCCGTGCAACCCAAAACCCACTGGGAGAGAAAAATGACACAAATGAAGATGTATAGTCGTCGCCTTTGTACGACCAACTGACCCAACTCTTTCGTTGTCCTTCGCATTTTTCGCCAAGCAAAGCATTAGCAAGGACCGCCTGGAGAGTTGTGGTTTTCCTTATGCTTTGCTGGGCACTTCCGTGCAATTCGAAAGAAAACCGGGGCTTAGCTGCTGGTAAATTTCAGCTTATGCACACACGCTCGCATGTGTCGACAAGCTGCAGTATCCTCATTTAGAAAATAAAATGAAGAAATTGGAATTGAAATAGGTTTCCATGGATGGAAACAAATGGAATCTCTGCAAAGTTGAAGAACTAATTAGATTTCTATTTCCAGCATAAAAAAGCTCACTGCAATCGTCATCTTCCGAATGAAGCTCAAATGGCAATTATTAACACAATCAAACCAATTTATATTCAGATTGATTCAATTGTTCCGATCGATAAATTATTCAATTAGCCAGCATGCTGCCAGCACCAGTTTGTGTTGGTGTACTTACCGAACGTCTATCCGCTCCAGACGGTCCAATCGGTCCAGGTGCAGTTGCCGCAGTTGGAACAGATTCAGAAACGCGACCGCGGGCAACGTGTCGAAATTGTTGCCACTCAGCGATAAATATGTCAGATTACACAACTTTGATAATTGCAGTGATGGCACGATCTGGAAGTATAGTAGATACAAACACACATTGTAGATGGGTTATGGAATACAAAAATCAGTTGGTTGTGTGGTGATGGTGATAATTGCTACTGCAGAAGGAAGGTTTAGGTAGAGGGCAGGAAGTGGAGAAATGCAAGTGCAGTCACTGGTGCTATAAATTATTTATTAATTAAACATTTCCACGTTATCTCCGGTGATGATTTAGAAACATCGCACAGTGGGATTTTATTGTCAAAGTTTGTCTCAGCTTTAGGCACTTTGATGGATAGTTATGGTCGTTTCTAGATTCGTATTATAGCTTATAGTTATAGCTTATTTCAACTTTGGCAGTAGGTACTAAACTTCACTACTATTTTTGAATGAACAAAATTAACTTTGCTACTTAACGGCACCGGTGGTGTAGTGGTAAGCGTGATTACCTCTCACTCCAGAAGGCCTGGGTTCAATACCAGTCGGCGCCGCCGGGATGTTCTGAGGCATAACATCTCTGATCACGCCTTCCTTCGGATGGGAAGTAAAGCCGTTGGTCCCCGGTTCATGAGTTGATGGGTCGATAGGTAGGGTCCAGGTGTGGGAGCTGCCTTCCTGGCACGTCGGTAGCATTGGTGCTCAGCACGGAAAACAAGATCGACGGAAAAAAACAAACCAAAGGAAAAAAAAAAAAAACTTTGCTACTTGTTTAGAAGATGTTAAGTTTATCGGGTTGTAGGAGATATATTTACACCGTATTTAATAATCATTTGCTTTTTAATTTCTCTCTAACCATGTCTCTGATCATTTATCGGTTGCCCCAGAAGAAGAGGACAATATAAGAATGAATCCAAGATCTGTCGAACGATACACTTTTCTTCATTTTACTAAACAACTCGATCATTGCATAGTGGTCCAGGATGCCAATTTAGCTGCATAGTAGTCCAAGAGGTTTTGTTTTAACATTTAGACGTTTGGTGTCTTCGGAGAAGTTTTTATAAAGGCTGACTATGAGGGCCACCACTGGCTGGGAATACCGCTCACCGCCCCTCTCCAACGGGGGAGTTTGGTAAAGAGAGATGATCAAACCGATTTGAACCTTCCTAAAGTTGTCCTTGCTCGCTTTCTACTCTCTATATGCAATTTTCACACTGCCGTACTCTTATGGAACTATCAATTCTGTACTTTTATCCCCTCATCTACGTATAAGAATTACCACCTTAGTCTGTTATTTGAAATTAGCATCTTCAACTATGTAACTCGTTGACTTCACGCAGAAGTAATACTAAACATATAGTCAAAGAACTAATGCAATTTTGATCAAAGTAGTCGATCGCGTTCAGAAATAACGTCAAATGGAACTCGAAAGAAGAAACCATACTGTGCACAAACAGCTGGAAAGTCCGGAGTGGTCCGGTTTCAAGCTGGCTAAAGTGCTGAAGATGCTAAAAACAACAGTTTGTCGAGTGCTCAAAACCTACAAGGAAATCCTGAGTGAGGAAAGGAATCAGCTGACCTACGAAAAAACTGGAACCTGGGATCGTCAGCTGCGCAACAAGGTGTTGACGTGCGTTAAAGCCAACTACGGTCTTCGATCCGAGATGTGGTCAGAAGGTATAACGCCAACTTTAAAAACGGTGCGGAACATCCTTGCCAGGGAAGGATACAAGTCGTATAAAGCCAGTAAACATCCGAACCGCCACATGAAGCAGAATTCCGTGACCAAAAAGCGTGCAAGGCTCTTGCACGAGCGTGCTTTGACGAAACACAAGGGCTACACTTTGATCGATGACGAAACATACGTCAAACTCGATTTTAGCAACCATTAATGGAATTTTTAAACTTATTGAATCACAAATTACAGATCTTTTTGTGCGTACCAATTTACTTTTAATCAGCTTTTACTTAACAAGTTTTTCTCTTGGTCGATATAAACTTTTGGGTGGTCCTTAAACTAATTGATGTTCAAAAACCAAATTTCTTATTTTTGAAAATAAACGCGTATGAAATTCAGCAAAGTTGTAGATGAGATAATTTAATACTACTTTGCTTTAAAAACATTTTTTCTATCGCTTAACGTTCTCAATTTAGAGTAATTTTTCGGAAATTATTTAGAATGTACCCACACTTGATTCGTTTACGATGCGTTGACGTAAATTCGACAGTACAGTACCACCGGCGCCAACTTTTTTTTTTAATTTTACTGTAAAATCAATTTGACTTTAGTCATTTTTAGAATATAATAATTTCTTTACAAATAGAAATACAGACAATTATTTTATAACAAACAGGAGGCTGACAAACAGGAGGAGGCCTCCCTCAACTCAGTCGGTAAATACGCAGTTACAAAGCAAGACCATGCTGAAGGTGGCTGGGTTTGATGCCCTGTCCGGGCTAGGAATTTTTCGGGTTGGAAAATTTCTTGACTTCCTGGGCATAGAGTATGATCAAAGATGAATACTAAGATGAAAATGTCGGAAGAAAAACTTTCAATTGTAGTGTCCTCTTTCGCAGTCCCTTTCATCCAATGAATCCCCCAGTATGCAAGGTAATTTTGTGGTGTTGCTGCCCCCTCGGTAGAGTTGAAATTTTGCGCGCTTTTTTATCAAAACAATCACACCAAAATCAGAGATGTCCCACTTTTTAATTACTCGATTAACAACTAATCGATTATTTTTTGTTCGCTGTGCTGTCATTTTTTCATCAATGAGAGTGCAAAACTTGTTTGAAACGATCGGTGATGATTCTCTGCAGAAGTTAATGCTTATATCGGCATGATATAACCGATTACAAATATTTTAATGTTCGGTTCGTTAATCGACTAATCGATTATCCGAATGAAAATCGGCCATCACTAGATGAATGTGAAACGTCATTTCAAATATAAGGAGCGTACATAAATAATTATACAATTTGAAAGGGACCGGGTCTAATCACAAATTACGTCCCCACGGTAACTGAAATAAACACGAGTGTTCACCGGTTGGTACGATTGTACTTGTAACCAAATTATATTAATGCATAAATTTATAACATTCAAACGTAATGGTTTGTTATGATGAAAGGAGCTCGGTGGAATAGCAGCGACTGATTTTGATTACTGAGCATAATATTGCGGATTCAAACTTCATTTTCCATGAATCTATTTCATTAGTTTATGTTTCATTGTTGAACGTTCAATGGATCATTCGCAATATTTTTATGGGTCATTCGTACAATTTCAATGCTCATTTGGCATCGAACGATCTCAATTAATAACTGTTGAAATGTATCTAGAACAGAGATCACTAACCATGGTCGAGACAGGTACTGTTATATTTTGGTATTTGAGGTGAAAACGCACCCCGGCACCGTGGAGTTGGTTTCCTACTTAGCGCCCAGGCACAGGCTACGCTCATAAAGTGGGAGCCTATTAATTAGAGGATAATCGTTGCCAGATTTAGAACACGGATTCGAAACCTTACCATAATCCAATGTTTTGCGCCAAACGATGCTGCCGAGCTACAGGACAAGAAGAATGATTACAGTCAACTGAATGCCGTCGTGGATATAACCCAAAAGGGTGACATCAAGATCTACACTGGCAACTTCAATGCGAAGATCGGCTCCGACAACACGGACTATGAGCGTGTCATGGGACACCATGGTCCGGGTAAAATTTTGTGGCTATAACGACATGGTGATAGAGGGCTTGCTCTTTCCTCATCGAGCAGTGTGCAAAATCGACCACATCTACATCAGTCGAGACGTCCGTAAAAGCAGCGCCGTCATCGCGTCTTGCCATCACCTTCTAATGTGTGAGATCCGCCTATACATTGCACGGATCCAGCGGAGGGAGGAGAGGCTTGGACGACGATTCAACACACGCCGACTAGACGATCAAGCTGAGAAAATATCGTTCGTTCAAGAACTTGAGACCCGAGCAGTGGATGTTCCGGAAGAAGAACTGTGGACGGCCATCAAGAATGCCTTTATCGAAACAAGTGAGAAAAATCTGAGTGAGCTGCGCACTCAGCAAAAAGAGTGGATCAATGATGATACCTGGCGAATGATTGAGGAGCGTAAAGAAGCAAAAACCGAGAAAGAGCGAGCGAGAACCAACAACCAAGCCCGTCAACAGTATTTCGCTCTAGAGACGGAAGTCAAACAGCCGAGCGAGGGTAGACTCCCTGACTGACAAAGAAGAGAAAACCGCAACAACTGGCGATATCTGCCTTATATACGATATGGCAAACATACTGTAACATACATAAATTAATAATTGATCTATACAAAATTAATACACGCTCCTTTAAAAACACCCAAATGATTCATAAAATTTTGAATGATACATAGACAATGTCACTTTGATCCAAATTTTATGAGAAATTTAGCAACACAATTGAAAAAAATGTACCGCAAAATTTCTAAATAATGAGCAATACGAATTACCCATAAACATATTGCGAATGATCCATTGAACGTTCAACAATGCACCATAAACTAATGAAAGAGATTAATAGAAAATCAAGTTTGAATCCACAATATTATGTTCAGTAAGCAAATCGGTCGCTGCTATGCCACCGAGCTCCTTTCATCACAACAAACCATTACGACTAACGATCGCTAAAGCCAGGGCAACATGAAGCTATTCAAATAGAATCGATTTTTTCCGGGGGTCGATCATATTTTTTCCGTTTCTATATAAACAGCAACATTTTATAAAGTGTGATTTCAGCAATAGATGTCTCTGGGAAAAAGGTTTGTTATTTTTTTTTTCAAAGACTGAAATCGGAAAAGACCTCGATTGGAAAAAAAAAATTATGTATTCTTCAAGATCGCATTAGATTAATTTTTAAAGTGTTTTAATTGTCGTAACATTTTAGATTTTGAACACTACGTTAAGTGGCGAATGGATAGTAGGGCCGATTGTTATACAGTGATACAATAAACTCCGAATTTTTTATAATTAGGATAAAATAGTCCTCCTATTCCACATAGAACTTTTGAGATCCCGGACAAACAACTGTTTTGAAAAACATTAGAGACAATTTCAAAGATGTTGAGGCTAGGCCAGTTTTTCACATTACTAAACATTTAAAATTTTCAGAATTTAAAAAAATATTTAATTAAAAAATAAGGCCTCAGATATAAACAAAAATACTCTTGGACTAAAATTAAACTCAAGGATTTTTAAAACTTAACACTTAACTTTTGAAGAAATGTCTACAGAATTTTGATCAGAATGCCAAATGAGTTTAGGAAGAGTTTTAGTTCTTTAAAATTCTATCTCCCTTTACTAGAGAGTGTCTGAAAATAAATCTAAAGGAATCCAGAGGACAATCTCAAAAAAATGTGAAAATAAGTTGCAGGTGATTTTGAGAAGCATTTCAGGAAAACTTTAGGGAAACTATGGGATAATCCCAAGGCAGCTCGGATGAAACTTTTTTTTTATGATTATGAGCAGAAGTTCAGAGAACTCTGAAGCAACTTTTAGGGATTTTCAGGTAGCATTCTAGATGAATTCGGGAGGAGAATTCAAATAATTATTATATGAAAACCTCTCTTAATGATCAGAAAGGGATTAATTTCAAGCAAATTTAATGCTGAATATATCTTAAAAAAAAATTCAATTTCTAACTGAAAATAATTTTAACGAAAGTTCTACGAGAATCCATTATGATTTTGGAAGAATTTAAAAAGATTATTATTTCCTTAAAAATCTAAGTAGCCTTTCAGATTCTGACATAGAACAATATTTGGAGATTGCAAAAGTTGACAAAGAATTATGTGTTCAAGGCTAAGGAATTACTAAAAATTCGCACTTCAATCATTTGAAAACATTATCACCACCTTAGGGCTTCAAACCTTATCAAAGCTCTAGGGCATTGCTATTTTTTAGATCTAACTCTTATGTTTTGGTATCCCGAACTAAGGAAAAGTTAAGAATTTCGAGCTTGATTCAGAGGCATGAGCATGATCGACCGCCCGCGGGTGCTACTCTGTTATTGCTGGATCAGTTGTAATTACACAGAGATCTAATAGACGATGCTTGGGACTGGCATTCATCCTCTATGTACAAAAACTGGTGATCTCAAACTAAGCAATACCAGCGGCATTCGCGTCCTAACGCAGGTCAAGAAAGGAAAGGGTAGGATTTACTGGCGTGATACACGCTATGTTGGAAGCCGAGAAATCCTCTGCACTTCAAAGATAAATCACTGGAATGTTGGATAAAAGGGGTGGGCTTGCAGCAGGATTCGTTTTGGTTAACGATTAGCTGAATTGATGTCGTAACGATCATATAACGCGAACAAGCTTGGGATTTAGGAGTTCTGCTCCTTTTATTACAACACGCCAATTATCGATTTGTTGTTATTCGAATGTATTCACATTAACAAATAAAGCGATCACCGAATCTTGAATGTGGAGGGGCTTGGGATTAAACTCATGATGTTCTACTCAGTACGCAAAAATGGTCACTCTAAGGCCACCAAGCCCCTCATATCACACCATACAAGCTATGATCGCGTTAATATTGCAACAATTCAAAACCGACCCCGACGGTGACGTCGATGACGATGTCAAGTTTCACAATACACATGATAATCAAGCTTTTCTTTTTTCAAATCACTCTGTGCACAAAAGCAATGCACATCGCAAAAACCTAACAATAGATCAGTACGGTTGAGTCACAGTGCCAACAAAGGAATGCGAGAGCACAACAAGTATGTGTACTTCCTTAGGAATGCGTTCAAACACTGAGTTCATCGCAATGAGAAACAGTGTAACCGAGATGACAGACCCTTGCGGGATGCCATTCTCCAGCAATCTCGAGGAAGAGGTTGCGTCAGCGTTCAAACACAGAACCTACGGTTCTGTAGAAAGTTTTCTACGTAGTTAAACATACATCCTTGGAAGTCCCAGTTCTTGAGGGAAGTCAAGATAAGAAGCTTCCATGTCATATCATATGCCTTGGACAAATCGAAAGAGACTACATCTACCTGCAAATCTTCCGACGAGGCCTTGTCCAATAAATGATCGTGCTCAGAGAAGAACGTCTCCGATCCATAGCCGCATCGAAATGCATGTTGCTGTGGGTGAATCCGTCCTTGCCTCTCCAGCTCAGTTGACAGACGACGATTAACCATCTGCTCGAGTGTTTTTCCCATGCAGCTCAGCAGGGTTATCGGTCAATAACCATCTGTTTGGGTTTTATCCTTCCCAGGTTTGGGAATGGGAATAACCAACCTTTCTTTCCACTCGTCCGGTATCTGGCCAGAAAGCCAGATCTTGTTCATTGTGTCAAGAAGAGCCAATCGGCCGACAAGAGGTAATCTCCTAAGCAGGGGATACCCAATGTCGTCAGGGTCCGCAGCCTTACCAATGCCGCGGCGCAGGGCCCAGTTGAACTCTTCAAGTTCGAATACCCTGTTATAGTCGTTAACAAGACTACGCTGCCTGTCACGGGAGTAGCGGTACTCTCCCACATTAGAAGCGTTAGGTTCCTATAGCTGTGTATGGAGACTCCATACACAACCATAGGAACCTAACGCTTCTAATGTACCGAAACTGTAGGAGTGTTTACCCTAAATGTAATAAGTCTTCTAATAATCAAGCACTCACAGCAAGTGAAAGTGTAGCGACTCCACTGATTTAATCATCTGATTTTTATTTTAATATTCATACATAAGATCTAACATAGGAAAACGCTACTTCCTATTAATGCAGTGGTTTCTCTAATAATGACGAAATCATACCCACAGTGCGAACGACGACCCGCCCTACCTGGGTGGTAGTTGATTTTGCGTTTCGGTATGTTCATTAGGGCTTGTCCGCGGTCCGTTGCAGTTGTCCCGTTCCACATCGGATGGCAGATACTACCTACCTACGTAGTACCAGTCATTGTAGGCACTGTGTTTAGTATTAGTACCTCCACGGGATACATAGCTGCCCACCTCCTGTACGTCCGGGAGTGGCGCGTTGCCTCCAAAAAGCTAAATTATGTCCTCATGCTCGTTTCTCGTGTTGGATTCCGTGCTGCAACTGTTGGTGCTGTAATATCAGCATGCACGCATTCACGTGTGTGTTGTTACCCGTTCGTCAGTTTCCCTTTCATACCATTTCCCCACCTAAACTCCGGAGTAATTATTTGAAAATGATTTATGTAAATGGTATGAATTTGAATATTTTATGAGCATTTCGTGCGCCCGCTAAATAGTGTTAGTTATGACCACAACACCAAGTTTGACTGCAGGGAAATTATGTCACGCCGCGGGACTGGATTTAAATTCTTATGAGCTTTAATGGTTAGGCATGGATAGGGACTTAATAATGGATTTCAGCGAGTGAAAACAACGTGTACTTACTGTAAAATTATTATCCGTGAGGTCCAGGGCTCGCAAAGCATTCAAGCCATGGAATGCACCGTAATCTAGTTCGTTGAGGACATTGCCGCCTAGTTTTAGCATTCGCAGCTCCCGCAGGTTCACGAAGCTGTCGTTGGCAATGAACTCGATCAGATTTACGGACAGGTCGAGCGATTGCAGCCGGGTCAGATGTTCGAGGTTATGGTCGTAGGGTACCTCGAGCACTTGATTGTTTTGGAAGCACAGCAACTCCAGCGAATATAGATGCCGCAGGGTTCCATGATCCAGCGATATGATAGCGTTGTTTGCGAAATCAAGTTCCAACAGATTTCGTAGATCGTGGAACGCAGTTGGATGGATCGTTTCTATTCGATTGTTACATAGTTTCAACACTTGCAACCGATCAAGACCTTTGAACGCATCCTTCGGGATATCAACGATAGCGTTATCACTCATATTTAGCATCCGAAGATTTTGTTGAGTTTCGAAGTTCCTTGACCCCAGACCTTCTATCTTGTTGAACGAGATGTCCAACACCTCCAGCCTGTGGTAGAAGCTCAACGTAAAGTGAACGTTGGTAATCCGGTTGGATGTCAGATTGATGTACCGTACATCCGGATTGAGCTGGATCGGGACCACGTCCAAACCGGCTCCGATGCACCACGTGCGCGCTGTTGGATGCATCTCGCACGTGCATATCGACGGACAGAAGGAATACACTTGCCGAAGAAAGACCAGCAGGATCAGCGTGGTCGAATAGATGATAATCCGACAGCTGCTTGCCGCCGGTCGTAATCTTGTCGTCATTCTGCGTGATTTGTAAGCGAACCAAAACCAAGCGGCTGGTGGTGATGCGTTCGTGCTCCCGGGATGATGCGAGAGGTTTTAATTAAAAACGGGTACAACACAGCAGCGGTGGCAGTTGTTTAGTGGGACGTTGTTTGTGATATTTGGGTGACGTCCAACAGCGGTGGCAATGATGGTCATCGTCAGTAACTTCAGCTAGTCAGCCAGTCGTGTTTGTGCAATCCCGTCTCAACTCGGTAGTAGCGAGTGGCTTTGTACTTTCACCTAGATTTGCGGTACACCTCACGTCTCACTCCGATGACAGCAGTCTGTTTCTGGGAATGAAGAAAGTAGATTTCAAAGAAAGGGATTAACATTAATTGCCAGCACGTGATGAGTTCTAGTAGAGACAGATGGGTGGAATTAGATATGTCGGAAATTATTTGGTTGAGTTATTGTATTATTTTTTTTTTCAAATGCGGTACTATATTTTTGTGACAACAAATTTAATAATTATTACGAATCACTGCCATCGGAAAATGCGTTAAAATGCTGTTGTTGTGTAGCGTTTTAGATGGTGAAAGAACACCGTAGGTAATGTTAATGCATGTAAGGGCTATTTTAGGACTGATGATGCCCCGAAACGTGGGATGTAAAATATACTACCGATTCATAGTCATGACTACTTCAAACTAGGGGAACAGAATTTTTAGTAATCAAAGGAACACATCTTAGTCCTTGTTACTTTTTATGCCTTGTTAATAGTGATAAGTCCTCGGGTTGCTTGGACCGAGGATGATCTTGAAACAAGGAAAAAATGAGTTAGTTGTCTTCATCTATGTGATTCCTAATCTTCTATTCGTTGTTCCCTAGTTTGAAGTGGTTAAGACTAGGGTTCTGATGCATGGTCATTATCGCTGTCATTCCTTAATTTTGTTGCTAAGGAATCCAATTTTGAGTGCTTTTGGAGGGTGTTTAAACACTCCGAAGGGTATAAATAGCGGGACCTTTCAATTACAGTCGGATCCTTGCGATAAATGCAATGCGATAAAAACAATGACAACTGTAAAAAAAAAATCGAATACTTCATCATTTTTCAATAGTGATGAAGTAATACGACATGCACTAAACTAAGGACACGGGATACAATAGTTCAAATTACTGTTCGCAGTGGTGTTAGGTCCCGTATAGAGAAAAATAACTGTTCATGATTGCTACGGTGATGCTACATGATCAAAATCGAGGTGTCAAGAAACATTCGATCATTTATTTTCGTACATTTTACTATTACCAAGTACATATAAAGGATGTCCACAGCAAGGGGTAGGTCACTCCGCGTACCAATCTTTGGTCAACATTTTTCTCAGCGTGCCGCAAGTGTGCCGGTCATAGAGCAAGCTGCGAGTTTTTGTAAAATACGAATATTATGGTATATTTGGCAACCCGAAATTTCTGACAGCTTGAATGTTTTAGTTTGCAATCGCAAGGATAACATCGGTCTAGTGACAACCAAGGAGGAAGCTGGCGCTGGCGAGATGGACCGTGAGCGGTCCGAGCCGTCCAACAGGATACAACAAAGAAAACAAAAAGCCGGAGAGCAACCGGAAGTGTCCCCGTATCGAAAACCGTTGGATGCGATAATTGAACGGCCCCGAAAATGTCAAATATCGTGCGCGATAAGGATTCCTTCTAGCGACGAATAAAACGCCTCTATGCATAAGATGGATTGCATTCTGCCCGCGGTCGGCGTAGACGAGGAAACCATCTACAGACCAGGCTGCTGAGATCGTTGCTGATAAATCCAACGGAAACGCTTCAAAAGCACTACACATTTCTGCTCAATCTGGAAGAGGAACTGCTGAAGGTGATGATTCCGGGCAAGAAGCTCTCGGAGGTTTTCGATTATGCCAAGAACGAGGATCCCAAGCTAAGACGTTTGGTTTTGCAAACGGGTTGGAGTTCCGGGAGAATTCTATCATAGTACCTCAACCCGTGAAATTCGGTTTAAAATTGTATGCTAATTAGGTTGAGCGGAAGCAATAAAAATTCCGTGTGATTGTGCCTCGAACAGTAGTTCGGTATTGTTCAACTGAGTCTGGTTTGGTAGATGACAAATTGACGGATTGCTGTCACAACGTCACATCCTGCCATTCCCGAGCCGTTGCATCAACATAATATTTGCATATATATATTTCCGCATTCAACCGCCACCACTGCATTTATGATAGTTCTTGGGAATTCCAGATTTCATGTGAAACCTGAGATAATTTTGAGTACAATTTTAAGAAAATTCTGAATTGGATTCTCTGATGAAAGCTCATAGATGTTTCTGAGGATTATTCCATGATACTTTAGAGCGGAACTGCTGGGATCCTAAGAGGGAAAGTATAAGGGCAATCAGAGGATAATTGTAAGGAATTGGTGAGGAAAAATGCATCAGGAGCATAATTCATTGGATATTTTGGGAGAATACTAAGGAACATGCTTGACATGCACAGTTGTACACACCAACTTCTCATTTGTTAATAACTTTTCACTCAGTTGTTGAAATTTGTTTTTCTTTAAAGTGATTGATAGATTAGGATCATAGTTTATTATTGATATGCAAAGAGTAGGTAAATCTTAACATTTGATTCAACAACAATGCATTTTTACACTTAAAGCCCGAGATGTGCAGCGAGCATTTCTCACTTCATTTTTGCAACGCAAAATCAAATACAGTTGATTACTAGAATTAAAATCTACATTTTTTTACCTATCTTTAACAAGCTTAATCTCTATTCTATCCAAGGTGTAAGTCACTCAGCACATTGTGCCGGAATTATATTCTACACAGCTTGGGCACATCCATTGGCACATTTTTGGCATATCTTCGGCACAATCTCGTAGGCATTAGATTGTTGTAAATAAAATGGGAGCACTGGTCGACAATTGTCATTGAAGTTGTTCAGAACATTACGTGCTGTTTGACTGTATGTTCAGGAACATCTTCTAATTGAATATACCACAGGAACTCAGACCAGTAGTTCACGTATAGATCTAAATACGAAATGTAGGTTCTAGAGTGGACTCAAGAGGAAGAGGCAGTTAATCAGACCTCATGAGTACCCTTAATTCAAATAATGTTGCAAATCACACAATACTAACTGAAGAAGTCTATTCATCACCCTCTATAGTCGGTCTCTAACAATGCTCCCCACCGGTTCCAACTCTTTCCAGCCGAAAGGCTAGATTTCTGGTCTGCCTTTGAGGGCATTATAAAACACTAAAATACAGGACTTTTATTACCCTATGGATCACAAAACACCGAAAGTTCACACACCCGCCACTTCCCGCGTCATCCTCAATCCGATTGATCCTTGCGATTTCAAACCAAAACATTCAAGGTGTCAGAAATACCGGGTTGCCGGGATGGGTATTTTACAAAAAATCGCAGCTTGCTCTATGACCGGCACAATCGGCATACTTGCGGCACACTGACAAAAAAGATGACCCAAGATTGGTGTGCGGAGTGACCTACCCCATGATTCTACCTACTGCTTCATAAAAAAAAATGTTTTGTCAACTGTATGCAAAGTTATTAACAAATGAGCAGTTCGTGACCAAAACTGTGTATGCCACTAACTGAGACTAACTCAAGGAGAATTTTCCAGGAATTTGGAAAATTATGCCAGGAGAATTTGCCAAACATTCATCTAAAAACCTACAGAGTTTGTGAGAAGAACTGTACATGAATTCTTAGGAAACTTTCAATGTACGTAGAATAACAAGGCAAGGAAAGAATTTCAAAGGAGGTCTGAAATTAATTCAATAATAATTCGGAGAATTATTCCAAAGGGTTTTTTTTACTGAGAATACAGTCTGGAACGCGCAAAAATTGGTCAACTTCAAACTGGTGTATTTATGTTAAAAATGATAAAAAAAATCTGAAATGCTGCATTTGTAAATTCATTGTATGTACAACGGTTGCTATGATGATTTTTCACCGTTTGCTCTCCAGTTTTCAAAATGACGTCCAGCAAGAGCGGCGTGTCAAAATTTTGCTCGCGCAGCAAGAGAATCCGACGTTCTCACACACCAAGTTGGCAAAATTTCTGGATGTGGCCAAATCGACCGTGACAAACGTTTTAAAAATGTTCGGGGAGCGTCTTTCGTATGCCAAGAAGCCTGGAAGCTGCAGCAATCGTAACCCAGACGTGGCAGCGACGACGAAGAAGGTGGCGGTGAAATATAAGCGGAATCCTAACCTCTCCATCCGGGACGTCGCTGGCAAGCTCAATGTTTCCCATACTACTGTGCAGCGGCGAAGGTGGCGAACCGAGACTACAAACAAAACACGTCGGCAAAGCAGCGGTCCTGGATGTGTCGTCATGGACGACGAAACTTATGTGACGGCGGATTTCAAGCAGCTTCCGGGACAGGAGTTTTATACCGCATCAGGAAAAGGGAAGGTGGCTGAAATTTTGAAAACCATCAAACTATCGAAGTTCCCGAAAAAATATCTTGTTTGGCAGGCCATAGGCACGTGTGGTCTAAAAAACGGTATTTTCATTAATACGAGAACCATCAATCAAGAGATCTACGTCCAGGAGTGCCTGGAAAAGCGGCTGCTACCATTCATAAAGCAACGCAATAGAACTGTGCTGTTCTGGCCGGTCTTGGCGAGCTGCCACTATGGGAAAAAGGCAATCGAGTGGTACGATGCGAACAACGTGGTTGTGGTACCCAAAACCACAACCCTTCCAACAGCCCAGAACTCCGCCCTATCGAACGGTATTGGGCCTTGGTCAAACGGAATCTCAAAAAAAAAACTAATAGATCCATGGAAAACGAGCAGCAGTTTAAATCTAACTGGCGTTCGGCGGCGAATAAGGTCGATGAGACCACTGTGCAAAATTTAATGGAAGGGGTTAAGCGGAAAGCACGGCAGTTCAGATTTGGCAAACCAAAGGAATAAACGGACATTTTTTCCTTTAAATATAAAAATTGAACTACCAAAAGAAAAAAGAGAAGATTTTTGTGATATGAATTTTGACTGAAAGAAACGATTTTTTGTCGACCAATTTTTGCGAGTTCCAGTCAACGTATTTGAACTAGTCATTTTTGTATTACTGCATGCGTGAAGTTAGCGATTTACACGGTTGAAGATGCTTAACGTCAAATATCAGACTGAAAGTGGTCATGATGCTTATGTCAGATGGCGACTTGAGTGTGAAACAATAAATAGAACTGTTTCCACACATCAAAGGTACGTGAGAAAATCGGTGATTATCTCTTTTGCCCTCCCCAACAGTGGAGTTTGGTAGAAGAGATGATCAACCCGATTCGTGTCTTC